CTGCTTTCCGTCCCAGACGACTTGAGAGGTCTGGATGGTTCATAACAAAGCAGAAGATCAGAAATGTATTTTGGCCCTAAACCATTTAGTGCTTTATTAACCAACAGCAGGATTTTGAAATCAATTCTTTGACATACAGGAAGTCAATGTAAAGACCTCAGAACTGGAGTAATGGGATCCACCTTTTTGGTCTTAGTGAAGACTCGAGCAGCAGCGTTCTGAATCAGCTGCCTGATGGATTTTTAGGGAGCCTGTAAAGACACCGTTACAGTAGTTGAGTCGACTGAAGATAAAAGTTTTTCCAGGTCCTGCTGAGACAAAAGTCCTTTAATCCTTGATATATTCTTCAGGTGATAGTAGGCCGACTTGTCTTAATGTAACCACTTAAATTCAGGTCTGAGTTCTTGACCACACCAACATTTCTGGCTTGGTTTGTGGTTCTTAACATTACCAATTGAAGCTGAGCACTGACTTCAGTTTTATCTTTGTTAAAATTTTAGGACATGCAATTGTTAATTTGTTTAATACAGCTCCTCAGCACTTGTACGGGGTGATATGGTTATGTAAATTATTTGTGCGTCATCTGCCTAGTTATGGTAACATTTTGTTGTTTTACATAATCTGAGCGAGTGGAACCATGTAGACGTTAACAGAAGAGGCCCTAGAATGGAGCCTTGGGGAACTCCACAAGTAATTTTTTATGTCAGATGTGTGATTACCTATAGACAAATTATAAAATGCAGTGACTTCCCTCTACTGGTTGTAACCTGGCTACTGCAGTTTAATTTTTTAATTTTGCTATTGGCTTTCCAAATCAAACTTCCTCAGCTGTCATCACATGACGTTAGTCTAGCACAGTCACATGATAACAGGGTTGTATTCAGGGCAGGAGGAAACAGCTAGCTCGGCTCTGTGAAAACTGTCACAGTGATGATTCGTTAATGTATTTGTGTCTTCTAAGGGTTCTCCTTGGTTGGTATAAGATTTGCCACATTGGCCAGAGCTGTACGGTTTCTCTTCAATGTGAACACATTGGTGGATTTTTAAGTCATCTGATGTAGTGAAAGTTTGTTGACACTGTTCACACCAGTACGGTTTCTCTCCAGTGTGAACATGTTGGTGCTTTTTTAGGGCACCTGATTGAGTGAAAGTTTTTCCACACTGTTCACACCAGTGAGGTTTCTCTCCAGTGTGAATACGCCTGTGGATTTTAAGGTGAGTTGATGCAGTGAAGGTTTTTCCACACTGTTCACACCTGTATGGTTTCTCTCCAGTGTGAACACGTTGATGGATATTTAGTGCACTTGATTGAGTGAAAGTTTTTCCACACTGTTCACACCAGTGCGGCTTCTCTCCAGTGTGAACACGTTGATGGAGTTTTAGGTGACCTGAAGTAGTGAAAGTTTTTCCACACTGTTCACACCAGTACGGTTTCTCGTCCGTGTGAACACGTTGGTGGATTTTTAGGGAATCTGATCTATTGAAAGTTTTTCCACACTGTTCACACCAGTACGGTTTCTGGTCAGTGTGAACACGTTGGTGGATTTTTAGGTGACCTGATGTAGTATAAGCTTTCCCACAGTTGTCACAGCTGTACAGTTTCTCTCCAGTGTGAACCCGTTTGTGGACTCTTAGGGCACCTGAGGTAGTGAAAGTTTTCCCACACTGGTCACAGCTGGACAGTTTCTCTCCAGTGTGAACTCTCTGATGAATCTTCAAATATTCAGACGTTGTGAAGGATTTGTCACAGTACTGACAGCGGGGACGTTCGAGTCCATCTCTTCTTCTCCTTCTCTATATCAACAGAGAGAAACACAGTAAGTGAAAGGTCATGGTCGATAACATCTAAATCTAAAACAATAAATGACAGAGCACATCTTTGAAATCACATACTAACGTACTGTACCACATAGCGAGTATGTACTGTCTATTAGATACTCAGTCATACACACTCACTATGTACTGCATACTCAAGAAATTATCAGTATGCCATTACTATATATGCCCGGCTGTTCACAGTGAAGTACTCAAGAAAATTGTGTAAGGTAAAACTAAAAAATTACATGCGAGAATGTGTGTAAATGCAGACAGCTGAGCCCTTTTTAGAAAATCCCTGAGCTCTGAGTTGACTGAGCCTGAGGTGGGAAACTGAATTTCTGGTTCAGGCGTGCGTGGGAATGAAAAAAAACATCATCAATGGAGCTCTGATACAATGATTCACCATGGCAACGAGTAAATAAAGGGAGAACCAACACGGACCCTGATTGGACTAAATACCGGCGGCTACCTGATTATGAAAATGGGTAAGGATCAAATATAAAGACACAGTTTACCCATGAATCTGTGATTGTGAAGTCACAGTCACACCCAGGAGGTTAGCCTATTATTATTTTTTTTTTTTTCGCAATGGAAAGTGTGTCTATGGGTTCAAACGGACTGTGAAGTCTCATTTAAAACAAAATATTAAGAATAGACTATATACAGCCAATAATGAAAAACTCAATTTAAACTACATTTAGGCCCATTTGTTTCAGTTGCACCATGTTATGGCAGAAAATTCTGTCCTGTAATCTTTTAATATTATTATTATTATTATGTCTTATAGATCTATGTGTATTGTGTTTTTATCCTTACCCTTTCTTCTTCTATACTCCTCATCTTAGTCCGACCACATTTACTAGGATTTAGATCAGAGCTGTGAGATTGTTTTGGTGTTTTCCCCCCTCTTGTTCCCGCTCCTCTCCTGGAATGATCATTCAAGGCTGTTCTGTGTTCCCCAAAACATAAACTAAGACTGTGTAAAGGACTATACATCCCTTTGCCCAAGCTATACATGCTTTTAGTAATTCTCCGTTTATTCTTTTTTATTAATAAATTCTTCAAAGACAACGGTCAATTATTAGCTTAATCCCTCACCAGCAAGATATAATTTCCACAACAATATGGCACCCCAGATGTATGAGGGACCAAAAACATAATATAAATAAATGCAGAAATAAATTTAAATTAAATATTTTTGTAATTAAAAAAGGCTATTTCTGTATTTATACAATTCTACATTTCTTTATCTATCTCTGCAGCTGGTTGTATCTCTCTCTCTATATCTATATCTCTCTCTATATCTCTCTCTATATCTATATCTCTATCTATCTATCTATATCTATCTCTATCTATCTCTATCTCTCTCTTAATGTTAGCTCCAATGTGCCATTAAATGGATGAAAAAAAGTAAAAAGCCTTAACTTAATCCAACCTGCTAAACTACATTTCAATTAAAAACTTAACCAAACTCGCTGGACCCAAATATTGCCACGGACCCAGTACAGACTAGAGAGAGTAGACAAAGAGCAGTGTCAGAGTAAAGCGAGGACTGAGTCTGAATCCACTCCCAGATTACCGTCACCAGTTGTGAAATTGTTGACTGAAAAATATTAAACATTAACGGGACAATTTGATAAGTGGGTTGAAATAGATTTAGATTTTAAGCTTTAGTCTAAAACAATTGAACCAGCTGAAGACATGTTTGGAGAGAAAGGAGAGCAGAAATGCAATAGAGTGTGCAGCCCTGTCCAGAGGAAAGAAAAGAAAACAAACTGCAGTTCAGATGGGTAGGCTACACAAAAATCATGGTTCGGTTTATTTCCGGTACAGTAAGGGGAAAACTTTTAACAAACTTCCAAATTACACATAATACATTTTTTTAAATAAAAAGAATTACGAAATAAAATACTGCTGCAAACTACTACCAAGTTCTCCACTAAATAAAGTATTCTCAAAACAATACCACATACAGCTAATAAAATACAATAAATATATATTGTAATGGACTGGATGACCAGTTAGTGTTAAGGAAGGAAGGAAAGGCTGTTCATCGCATGCACTGTGTTTTCCGATGTTCCAGGATGTCAGTGAACGCGTTTTGCCGGTCCGTGAATGTGTGATATGTTTAGAAGCCTGTCAATTATTGTTCCTTGTATGTATGGCGTTGGCACTGGCCATGCTGCTCATGTTGCTAGTTAGCGTGCTGCTTGTGTAGCGCCGCAAGGCAGAGATTTGCCCCGCCCCTTAATATGTCTGTGTGGAAACAAAACGAGCCTAATATATGACGTTAAGATTGCATTTGGTGCACCGTTCACAAATACATTACATTTACTCATTTAGCTGACGCTTTTATCCAAAACGACTTACAATTGCTGTCCATGTCAGAGGTCGCACGCCTCTGGAGCAACGAGGGGTTAAGTGTCTTGCTCAGGGACACAGTGGTGGACACCCTTAGTAGGCTATATGAAGACAAGAATTAAGGACGAGGAAAGCTCAGAACTGAAAATTAGAATAGATGAAGCTGGACTTTCATGAGATCAGCATTACAATAAGATAAAATGTTCCTTTCTTAAATCACCACCATTATCATCATATGTCACTCCAGGCAGACGGAAGGACAATGCACAGTCCAGAATTACCACTGGACTAAGTTCTGCCCGCATGATGCAGGACAGCAGCTGAACAGCAAGACCAGACCGAATCATCCTAGTCCGCATTACCATCACGAGATGCAATGAGACCCTAAAAGTTCTGAGTTTGATTAGTCCAGAAACTGCTGCTGAAGTAAAGAGGAGTTGTATTTCACAGCATGTCACATCATGGAAGACAGACCGCACGACAGAGCCTGTTTAACATACAGAAGATCAAAAGAAAATGATTGATCTCACAGATAAAGTAAAAATCATAAACACAATCAAACTAAAATGGATACCATATTAGGATCTTAGCTGACTGACGAGTTCCCAGTGGTTTGGCCCGAGAACCCGGGACAGCAAGGGTCATGACGTACATTGACACACATTGCTGTGGTTCTGAGTACCTGTTCCAGTAACATCTTGAATGAGAGTTTATAGCTATAGGTTTCACAAACTCAAGTTTGAGTTGAAGATTCTAAAATGGTCTCAACTAAACAAGAAGCGCTTGAAAGTATTAAACACGTTTTGAATTCACTGTTACAGGCTGGAGTCACCATCCCCTCTGATGACTCGCCTGCCCGCTGCCACAGCTTTCTATTAAAGGAAAATTGGTGGGGAGGGCCAACCAACAGAGCACAGAGCGGTAGAGTCCATCACAAGAAGCATGCTGAGAAGACCACTGTTGGCTAAAGCGGTTAGCTTTGGCCTCACACAAGGCTAATCTGTCTCAATTGCAACAGACAGGATGAACCTGGCAATGAATAGCAATGTTGTATCACCTGCTGCGTTTAATCCAGGTTGCTAATAAAACGGCTATAAGGAATTCTGTAACTGTAACCTGTTTTTCACTTACAGAGCACAACCATGTGATGTGCAATGCAGTTAATGACAGATTAAACAACTGTAAGTCAACACACCACCAGACTCTCAAACCAGTGTGACGTTATAACTAAATAAAACTGTTACATGATCAACAATAAACCTCTTTCCAGCCAACGGTAATAATTAAATGACGGCAGCCAGTAAATGATTACGTTAAATCAACCACCACAAGTTTGGCAAGTAAACAAACGCTCGTTCATCTTTTCATAACGAACGACAATCGGAGTTAACCTCCGATTCGCTGTCCTCTCTCACGTGCGGCCGTGCGCGGCAGATGTTACATAGGCAGGTTATAGGTAACAGAGGGAAGGAATAATAGCAAGCTCTTCAAAGTTTCCTAAAAAATAAACATTGTCCGCAGTCCCGCACTTCGAGTCTCAAGTCACTGTGTGTGCGACTTAAGTCGGACTTGAGTCCCCATCTCTGCACCACAGTAGCGACAGACGTCAAATTTGAATGTTTTCACCAAGTGAAACTCATTCAAAGGTTCACGGCTGGTCAGCCTGTGGGTCACTTCCCTGATGTGTGCTCACACACTTCAGACTGCACCACAGTAACAACACAGACCGCCACACTGCCAAGCCTAGAGCTGACGTGCTATCACACCAAGTCCATGCCATCCCTGACCTGCACTGGTCCTGTGGGAGTGGCTGGCTGCAGAAGGATGGAGAGGTGTGTGTGTGTGTGTTTTTCAAGTTGATTAATCTAACGACTAATTTTGTTTATTCTAAAGAAAGAAACGTTGCCTATTACTCGATTAACATACCAATTTATCCAAAATATCAAACACATGTCTAATCAATATCTATATTTTATTCAATCATCCTGGTGAAGCACATTAGAATAATGACAATAGCAGCAAATCTTTAAATGAATCAAATTTCCATGTCACTGATGTGTTGTGATAATAACAATAACAGACATTAATTGGGCTGCTTTACTTAAAACTTTAAATGTTTCGGGGGACTTCCGGTTGCACGCTCAAGCACGGCTGCTTGAAAACTGTCTCTCCCGGCAAATAGATTAAATGGCCCTAAACTTCGACGAGGAACGAGGTCCACAGGATGACATAGAATAAATCGGGATGTGATGAAAGACAGTCAGAACAAGACCAAAACTCCAGAGAACTCCACTGAAACTAGTCCTTTTAGGCTGATGAGGAGACTTTAATGTGCAAATAAAATGCACCTCAGAAGGGAGGAGGTTTCTCATTTTTTTATATTAATGTCAAACGCTGTAAAATGAAGATAGTTGATTAATCTATCGATTATTGAAACGAATAAATCGACTATTCGGATTATGAATCGCAAAATGACACAATGCCTCTCATTTAGCTATTAGCCTTTAAATTAATCCTGAGGTCGTTTTAGGCATGTGCTAATTAACAGAGAATAAAATAAATACTGCTTTCAAAGATGCATCTTTTAATGAACGTTTCTGCTGCAGCAACAGAAAGTTACACTGAAATCACGTCCTGATCTGCTGTTTAGTGACGGAGCTGCTTTCACGCCAGTACTGCAACACCCCGGGACAAACTGACCCTGTATATAAAGAAAGGAATAACGTCATGCATTTCATTTGCTGAATTTACAAGAGGAGATCAATAATAACAATCTTGTTGTAGACACGTTTCACAACAAATATAGTTTCCCCTAACTTTGTTTTGGGCAGATTAGCCGCCACCTCACGCACAGACAGGAGAACTGTTTTCTTCTTCAGAAAGTATGAAATTGTCCGGTGTTGCTTATCTTGCGCACTCTGCAGCAACACGTTCTCCAGCTGGAAACGTCGCCACGAGCGACGCGTTTATGATTGTAAAGTCAGGGCACTGGAATGTGAACGCAGCCGTTGTGTGTCATAATTATGTGCTACTCACAGCACCATTACTGTAACAATCAACTGACCAACTGTATGAAAACGTTTCAGCTCATAACGTGAAGTAACACGGCTTTAACATGAAGCTAGCTCGCTAACTACCATACCTTATAAAATTCGTTGCCAACGATTTTTGTCGACTACGTCGTTTAGTTGTTGCACCCCTACTCATATTAACAGGGTTTTAGGGGGTGATGCCCCAAACATGCAGTGCCATAAATGTCTAATCACTGTGGAGCGACAGAACCAACCAAATCTAAAGACTGTAGTTCCTCCAGTAGATCTTTGGGTGTCGTTTGCTTATTATTTGCTCTAGCTTTTCCAACTACTTGTTCAGAGATATGGTGATAATAATGTAAAGCCCCAATTTGATGTGAAATTACATATTTTTCATTGGAAAATGTGAAACCCCCAACAGCTCCCCAGCCCACTTACCAAGACTAGTACGACCACCACCAAAACATTCAGCCAAAGCTCAGGTAGTGTTGGGGTTTTATATTCAGACACTACGTGCACACATAAAAATTTCAAACAGCATATATTGAGCTGCCTGGTTGTTTTTAAATGAATTATAGGATTAGAATTGAATATTTTAAATACAACTAAATGTTGTTTCTAGAGCAGCAACATTACAATAGCAAAGTCGCATTATAAAGTCACAATACTGAGTGACGTACAGAAAGAATACCATCACTCTGCATCAGTCCCTCCTTCCTTCTCCTCTTCCTCCTCTCTGCTGTTATCACCTGCCCGCAGGTAACGTCACCTGGTCGAAGGATGAGCGGCTGCTTTGTCTCAGCCAGCAACGGAGTTTTTGCCAAATTACAGACAGCTTTCTATTTAGCTTGTTTTTAACATTTGTCAGCTGTGCTTGTATAAAACATACAGGATAACACTGGGTTTCGTGTGATCATTAGAATATTTGTTTTCTTATCCATCGCATGCATTTCAAGTTCAGATCTGACTCTCGAGACATAACGTTACATTATAGGACCCGCTAGTCTCGATAAGCTCGGACCTTATGTTGTAGCTTTATTCATTATTCGGCTCTGACAGAGTCATGTGGATGTGTGACTGCAGTGAATGAATAAATAAGCAGTACAGAGCAGATGAGCCGGACAGGACGTCAGAAACAGAAACGGCAAAGAGAATCCGGTCGATTTTCAAAATAAAATACCTTGCACTGACTCCCGAATTTGTACATCAACAATAAAAACAAACTATTTAGCCTTCTTAACCACAGTAGAAGCACAAAAATCAAGGACAACTTACCAAATCAACTAAATTTAAACAATTCAGCAAACCGTAACGCGGCGCACACGCAGTCCAGGGTAATGGCCTTGTTTGTATTAGAACTAAGGGTAGATGGAGGAGGTGTTGGGGTGGGTGTCTATGAGGGGCCCAGTTCGGAAAATGTTGTCCCCCTATCCATAATTAATGCTGGCCTGCATGTACAGAACTGTTTACTGAGCTAACTAGCTAATGACAGAGCCTACAGAGATCTAACACTAATACAGGTCACTGCATCAGTTAGAGTCTCTGGTGAGAAAAAGGCACCGTGGAGGAAAGTCCCACAGAACAAACTTCAGAAGAGGATGTGTTGAAAAGCTGAGCAGCAGTGGAGGAAAACTAAACTCCAGACTGACTCTGATCTCTACAAAGAGTCTCCACAGATACTATTTAGAGCTGAAACCTGCACGACGATCATTCAGAGAACAATAATGCAGGCAGACTGTTTGTCACTGAGAGAAACTCACCAACACACGAGCAAATATAATGACTCTGCTTCATTTTCACCATCATTGTTTGTTCTGCGCGCTCCCGACACAACACGGGCCGCACCGCGCATGCGCCGCGCGGGAAAACCCACAGACAAAGAAAAAAAGAAACGCCATCTTGAAGAGAGGAAACTGAAATGTTTTCTTTCAGCTTCCTCTCTTCAAGATGAAAACAGGAACACGGAGACACTTTGGAATCAAACCACGTCAACACAAACCCTGGAGCGGGTTTTCAGGCTCTGATCTCTAACAACAGAATGAACGGATGATACACGGACCCTCGAGACTCTTCCTCGTGTCTTTAGTCTCGTGATGAAGTCATGAACACTGACCTGAACATCGGCGCTATCAGAGCACGAGGCTGCTGTTTGGCTCCTGTGGTCCGGGTTCTGGTTCTCCATCGTCCTGCAGGTCTCCGCTGTGACTGGTGGACCGTGTTGTCCTGGACTGAGTCTGGATTCTGGTCTCGGAGCTCTTCAGGCTGAGATACAGGAGCGCTGCGGGATCCCGCGGAGTGTTCTCGCCACGTCACGGCGTCTCGCCCCGCCCACCTTAGTTACTGTCGCTAGGGCCGTTTAGAAACATGGCTCAATCCAACTGTCCCCCCAAACCTTAAACCCTGAACCCTCACAGACTTGACTGACGTCACTTGATAAGTGATTGTTTTATGATTTTGCCTGATTATTTAAAGTCTTGCAGTCTCTCGCTCTACAGAGTGGACGAGACGTAAATGTCAATCTACATTTGTCAACAATCAATGCATT